GACTTGAAATGAGCAAGGGCAGAAGGAGGTCACTGCAATCATTGAGGTGTGAGAGAATGGTAGTTTGAACCAGAGAAGCTGCAGTAGAAGAATGAGAAGTGGCCAGATTCTGATATAGTGTGAAGCAACAGGATTTGCTGACCAGATTGGATGTGATGTGTAAACAGAAGAGATGAGTCAAAGCTGACTCCAAGGGTTTTGGCCCATGCAACCTGAAGGCTGGAGTTGTCATCACCTGGGATGAGGAAGACTGAAGGAGTATTAGGTTGTTAGAGCAGGGCAGTAAGAGGTGGATATCAGGAGCCACATTTTGGATATTTTGAACTTAAGACACCTTTTACTTTTTTTAAAGATTTATTTATTTATTTATTCTTAGAGACACACACAGAGAGAGAGGCAAAGACACAGGCAGAGGGAGAAGCAAGCTCCATGCAGGAAGCCTGACGTGGGACTCGATCCTGGGTCTCCAGGATTATGCCCTGGGCTGCAGGCAGTGCTAAACCGCTGCGCCACCGGGGCTGCCCTAAGACACCTTTTAAATATCTGAACAGAGGTACTGAGTAGACAGTTGGATATCTGATCTGGAATTCTGGAGGTTGGGCTATAATCATATTTACATGTGAAATTGGAGTAATAATACAATAATGCCTACATAAGAGTACTTACTACGGGGAGGATGAAACAAGACAATGCATGTAAAGCTCTCAGTGCAGTACCTGGCACACAATATGCCCTTGATATCTTTTAACTATTATTTTAATGGAAACCTAAACTCTGTCAGTATTTCTATCATTACTATAAAGTTGTGAGTGTGGTTGTTTTTAAGGTTGATCACTGTCTCTTGTGTCAGTTCTTGGGTGATTTACACAAGAGTCTTGAGCCATGGCAGTGCTGTTGGAATTGGTCTCTAGCCCCCAGAGTTTAAAATTTGGAAGGCTTTTGCATGCATTCAATAGTCTTTCTAGGTAGGTTAATGTCACATTTCTTAAACAGTATGTTAGTCAACTCAGAATTTATTTCAAGTTTCAGGGAGTGTCTGATGCAGAGAATGAAGCAGTTTATCAGGAGAAATTGGAGACCAGCAAGGATCCTTCAGGGAAAACATTCCCAGCCCATTCTGTGGCCCCTGTGATATAGGAGGTGTAAGTGGAAGGACCCATAAGAAATGACTCCCTACCATGTCTTGACTTCAGTAGCTACAGATGGAATCACTGGCCACAAGTTCAGCTGGCTCCTTTTAACATTGATTCACAAAGGCCACAACTCAGGTCTTCCTGAAACAGCAAGCTTCTTAGAGGAACTTTCTTGGAGAAGCACACTCTTACTATCTTGTGTTAATTTATTCAGTGATCTTTAGCTGTTTTATATTGAGAAAGTGGAAACAGAGCTGGTGTGGTTTTATTACACACTTCTAGATCTTTGAAGCAATGAGTTTCTGGCATCAAAACCTAAGCAATGTCTGAGGTTTCTCATTCCTTTTATATCTCTTTGAATTTTAACTATAAAATCCTTGACCCTGTAATTCTCTTCAACGTCAATGACAGAGCTAAGGCTCCATAATTGTCTATTAATAATCCGCCTAATCGCCATCTGTATCCAAAGGAAAGAGATGATGAAGAGGTTAAAACAGTCCAAAAATGCGTCTGTAACAAATAGGTGACTAAGGTCACATACAATGATAGATTTTGCTTGGTGGATTTAGCAACAGCAGCACACCACCCCAGATGGGGTAGACGCGCTGTTGAGAGGAGAGAGAGAAAAGGACACAAAAGACAGGCTCTTTCCCCGAATCTTTGTTTTCTTCCATCTGTAAACGAGGCCACATAAACTGAGTTGATTGCTGCTAATGAGCAGAGTAATGCTCAATTAAACTCCATGAAACACCAATTTCATTCCTCTCCCTGATCCTTTTGCAAGTTTCTAATAATTGCTACATTCATTATGACCAGGCTTCAAGTGTATCTCCAGGGGTGGCTCCACATGAGAAAATAACTCTTCTCCCTCCTGTCTCCCACCCCAGGAGTCAGGAGAGGACACTTCGGAGACTAATACTTTGGGGTCCCATAGTCCAGCAGGACAGGTGCATCCCCTCCAGACACCCCACCAAGGCCTTTCTCTGGGTGTGTGTCCCAGAACTCTAGGTGCAGGAGAGCTAAAAGGTCCAAGAACTGGTGACTCTAACCTGAGCCAGTCCAGTTGATCTGTGGAAAGAACTGAATGAATTTGTACCCTGTGTCTGTTTTTCTATTTTATTTTAATTTTTTTAAGATTTTATTTATTTATTCATGAGAGACCAGAGAGAGAGGCAGAGACATAGGCAGAGAGAGAGAAGCAGGCTCCTCGCAGGGAGCCCGATGCGGGACTTGATCCCCAGACCAGGGATCACGCCCTGAGCCAAAGGCAGATGCTCAACCGCTGAGCCACCCAGGTGTCCCTGTTTCCTATTAATTATTTTAAGTAAATTTTGGTTTTATATTTTTCCAGCCAAGCTAAGGAGGAAAAGGAAAGACTTTTGTCCATATCCAGGCATGGTGGTGACAGAGGAAAAAGCTTTCTAGCAAGAAAACAAAATCTTTTGGGCTTAAAATTCAGAACTCAGGTTCACCAGAATAATACCAGAATAATACAGGGCTTTTTTTGTGCCTGGACAGTGTGACTATAAAATTTATCATCCAAATCAGGATACTTTTCCAAGTGAAACAAGGCAATATAAATAATGCCACCAGTTTAACAGTATAATAAGCATAAACTGGTGCTTTCCAGGCAACCAGACAACATTTTGATCACCAAATGAATCCTGGCCTATCTAATTCTCTCCTTCATTCAAGAGAACTGACCTGAAAGAAGTTTCCACAGCTGAAAATAAATACCCTTGCCTTCCTACTGGGATAAGTAGGTCCTTGAGTTTTATGAATATGGGAACAGGTTTCTTTCTTTTTACTCTTATTCAACAATTGTTCTAGCCATTTTAATTGCAGAGTCCTTTCACAAGTTCTGTCTACCCAGTCTTGCCACCACTTAGCCCCCACATCCTTGATCCAGAAAGTTCATCCAGGAGTCTGAAAATGTCTCCTTAATTCAGTTAGTGGACACTGGGCTGAACATATAAAATCCCACTGAGAGAGATAGTATGTTTTAGAATTAGTTTTGTCTGGCCCTACAAAATAGGACAGGGATCATAAGGCAGTTTGGGGGGTTCCTATCAGAGGCAGCCCTTCCCAGTGTCAAATGGGGCTCCTCCAGGGCACAGAATGTGCGTGACCCAACCCTATATCTACAGTGGCTATTGCCCGGCACAGGGGCTCGTGCAGAGTGAGTTCTCAGCCACGCTATGGAATGACAGGGCTGCTTTCCCACACCCTTGAGTCCCAGGCTTCAGAGTGCCCATGGTTTTCTTCTCTCTTCCTGTGCAGGGAGGGGGAGTCCTGCCCATGATTCCATGCCAGCTGGGTTTCTGCTGCCAGCCCTCAAGTACTGGCTAGCATTCTGCTTTTCTCAGTACTGTGCTGAGCCAAAGAGGGCCTCCCAAAGACTCCAGGTTTGGGCACAGGCTAAGTCCACTTGGTTCCATTCAGTTCGGGAACACTCAACAAAGCCCATTACCTTCTAAGTCCCAGGATGGATGCTAGAGACACAGAATTAGAGACACATGCAACCTTGAAAGACTGTATGTGCACCAGGGCCTGAGTGGTTAACAGCGATGACTGCAGTGGGGCTGTCTGGGTTTGTATTCTGGCTCTATGACTCACCACCTGATTATCCTTGGGTGAATATTTATTTTCTCTGTACCTGAGTTTTTCATTTAGAAATGGAAATATGAAAAAAAAAAGAAATGGAAATATGAGCCTGCCTCAAAAGGTTGTGAGAATTATGACGAATTCCGATTATGATCATTATGATTTAGAACCATCCTTGGTACAGAGCAAATAATAAATTTAACTATTACTATTTTTGACCAAAAGTTGCTCCTCTTCCCAGGTGGCCTAAAGCTTGGCACATCTCCCTTAATTCTCTCTGCATCTGACGGGTTTCCTCATTTTCAGGAGGGGCTTTTCTTTGCTCCTGGGCCATCCCATTGCTGAGAGCCAAGAACGACACATCTCTACCCTAAACTTGGTCAACACAGAGGAAGGACCAGATTTGAAAGGTGTCACCCTAAGCCAAGAGCCTGAGCATCACTTGTGCCCACGTATTTCCAGTTCTTTCAGAACCAAAGGCAGGAGTTTCCACATACCTCTCAGAAATTCAGATACCAATGAACGGTAAGCACAAAAGAATCTTCCCAGGAATTTTTCTGAATCATAATGTTATTTTCTTCTCTACTCACTCTATGTTCTCCACTGAATAGTAGATCTTCTTAACCAGTAAAGGTTGACTATGATGTATTTATTCAATTAGGCAAATGCATACTATACTTTTCCTTGCACTTCCCAAGGAATCATTAATTATCAAACCCACTACCACACATTTAAGACAGATAAAATTTAAAATAAACTGGGTTTTTTTTTTTTTACTTGACTAAGGTAATTCTGGATTTCCATGACTTGAAAGTCTCACATTCCAAATAATCTCAATTCACCCACCTAACAGTTCCAACTCAAAAATACATGTTGCTGCCATGCCTGCCCTAGCCATGCTCCCAGTGGTACTCCTTGCATCACCTCTAACACAGTTTGGATAATTTCAGTGCAAAGGAGATAATCAAAACTATTGACCAATAAACACAAAAACTTTCCCCAAATGTGATCGTTTTATTATTTAGCAAAAATCACCACTGCTCTGCTGCCCACCTTCACCCACTCCAATTCTTGGAATTGCTTCTTCATGATAGACTTAAGTTAGATCCTCAAGATACAATGTTGAGCTACTATGCCCCAGAGGTCTCTACTTCTAGGATGATTTAAACAAATCTCTGTCCTAGCTTGGTTTCCTTTTGCTGAAGACTGCTGCTAACCTGGAACCAAAGGTTAATTGCCCTTATGCTCCTAGTACATACTTACCTGCTTCCTTCCACTCGTGTCCAGGCCACACACTGATTGCAGAATCCCACAGCATCAATCCTGGAATAGACTTTGGAGACCAGCTAATCCAAGCCCTCATTTTACAAACACAGACACTGGAGCCTACAAAGAGGAAGACGTTTGGCCAAGGTTACACAGCTCATTAATGAAAGAGCTGGAATTAGAATTGCCAAACTGGAGATTCATCTCCCTGTGGTGTCATTCTTCCTCCAACTGGTTCTTTTGCTCTCTGCCCTAGTTGGCTTTCATACATTCACCACACAGTCCACACCCTCCTGGGATGTGTCAGCAGCCCGTAAGGTTCACCCAGAGCAAACTAACCCAGCTCAGCTGGCCTGGGGTGCTTTACCTGCAGAGGAACGAATGTCATGTGACTCTCTTGGAAACAGACGCACTGGGTAAGGACACATGTGATGTTCAAGTGTATCCAGCACAGCATGTCTCCCAAGTTCGTCATGCTGAGAAACAAGCAAAACCTACGAGTCACTCATAATGTCTGATACTTTTAAGTTCTTTTTTGTAGGCCTGTAATTTCAGGTTACCCTACAACAAAAGCTTGGTATTGTCCCCCTAAAAACAATATATTTAACATCAAAAATTTACTCAGGAGATACTTTGTGAGCATTGCCCATTTGCTAGGCATTATGCTATCAGGAATAAACAAATGAGGAAAACATGATTCCCAACATTTTGCAGTGGAAGAGGCAGACACATAGACAATGGCCAGATATTGTGTTAAGAGCTTTGAATCTAGGACAGCAGGTTCAAGTCTTAGAGAACACAGAAGTAGCAGCTAAGCAAGCACAGGAAGTTTAGTGGAGACTTTTTTAAATGATATTTTAATTTTAGAATAGTTTTAAGATTTACAGAAAGGTTGCAAAGATAATACAGAGTGTTCTCATATATCTTTCACCCCAGTTTCCCATAGTGTAAACATCTTCTCTTACTGTGAAACATTTCTTAAAACTGAGGAACCAACATTAGCTCATTACTTTTAATTAAACTAATAGAGACTTCTTGAAGGAAGTGACATCTGGGGTGATTTCTGAATGACACTAGAAGTTAGCCAGATGAAGAAGTAGAAAAATCATTTTAATCAGAAAGAAAAGCATGGCAAAGACCCAGAAGTTAAGGGTTTTATGAGTTCAGGGAACAGCCATGTGGAGGTGGAGGTGGGAAATTTGCAGGGGAAGAGGACAGAAGAAGAGACTCCAGATATGGGAAGAAGAGTGGAAAGGGTGAAGTGAAGGTTAGTGAAGAGGACAGGAACCAGATTGATAAAAGGCCTTCTAAAGAGACCCAAAGCATTTGTACTTTTTCCTGAGCACCATGATGAATAATTAAGGCATTTTATCCAAGAGACTAACATTATGAAAACTATACTTGAAAAGATTTGTTAGACTGCAAGGCAGAAAACACACTTGCAGGGATACAACAGAAGAAAGAAGACGAGCTGATGGGTAGCCTGAGCAAAAATAGTGGTTGCAAGGGACAGAAAGAATATAATGAATTTTAGAGATAGTACGGAGATGGAATTGATAGAACTTGATGGTTAAGCAGATATAGAAGCAAGGGGAGAAGGAAGGCTCAAGGTTGACTCCAAGATTTCTGGCTTTGGCAACTGGAGGGACTGGATGGTGGTATCAGTTATTAGGCCACAGAGCACAGGAGTTAAGGTTGATTAGGAAGAGAAGAGGATTGGTTGCACTTCAAACAGTGATGTATGATGTATCCATGGGACATCCAAGGAAACAGTGAAGTCAATAGGTTCGTTGGATATATGGGTCTGTGTTTCTGGAGAGAATTATGAATTAGAGACATATGTGGTGAATCATTAGCTTAAGGATGGCAATTAAGGGATCCCTGGGTGGCTCAGTGGTTTGGCGCCTGCCTTTGGCCCAGGGCGCGATCCTGGAGTCCCGGGATCGAGTCCCGCGTCGGGCTCCCGGCATGGAGCCTGCTTCTCCCTCCTCCTGTGTCTCTGCCTCTCTTTCTTTCTATGTCTATCATAAATAAATAAATAAATCTTAAAAAAAAAAAGGATGGCAATTAAAGGCAGACTAGACTTCCCATGAGAATGGAAAAGGGTCCAGGAAAGAACCTTAAAGAAAGTGGCCATTTAGGAAGAGCTGTGGAAGGAGGATGTGGAGCATCTAGAGGAAAACCAGAAGAATGTGGTACCCATGAACCTAGGAGGGGAGAGCTTCCCTGAAAGGGTCATGTGACCAGCCCTGTCAAATTCTGCAGGGGCGGGGTAGAGGCCCACAAGGGTCCTTTGGATTTGACAATAAGGACTTCCCTTAAAGGAAGCAGTTTCAGAGAAGAGGAGGGGCCAGAAGTCCAATCCGTCCTTGGGCTACAAAATGAATAGGAGGTAAAGACAAGAGAAATAGGAGAATGGATCATAATTTTAAAAAGATACTGTGAATCAGAGGTCAGAGAGAACTGAAATGAAGATGACAAATGATAGTAGGTCCTGTTGCAGTAAAAAAATTACTTGTTCCATTTAGAGTATGCCAACGCCATCATTTTTCTAGGGAAAAATTATATCTTATGATTAATAGTAGCTACCACTTAAAGAATTCCCACCCTAGGCAAGCACTTTGAAGTTCATCATCTTATTTAGCTTTTAAAACACTTGGAAGTGGATATTAGATCTCTCTGTCACAGATGAAGAAACAAAAGACCAGAAAAGTTCGGGCACGAGATCTCAAAACAACTTCATGGAGCAGCTGGAAGTTCAACCTAACCTTTACTCCAAAGTCCCCATTTTTCCTATTGCAACCATACTACCTCTTGTTAACATGTCCTACAGTTGGCCTTCATTTCAAGTGCAAATGGCCAGAGCTAAAACAGGTGGTCAAGGAATTCCATCCACGACTGTGAGAGCTCTGAAGGAAGAAACAGGTAACCCAGGCACACACTTCTTGTTCAAGGATAATCTCTGAGTAAAAAATAAAGAATCTCTGGTTTTGAATCCCAGAGATTCTTGCCAGGGACTCAATATGTCCCTTTTGTTGGGGAGACAGGCAGGGAAGTGGTTAGTGGGGAAGGTGTGAGGCCAGGTAGCTCAGAGTAAATCAGTCCATTGCTAACTAGAAAAGTTAGGGTTGTAGATAAGGGGAAACTGGAAAATTCTAAGAGAATCTTACAAAAATTATTTTTGGCCTAAAGAAAACAAAGAATAAAGGAAGAACCAAGCTGCCTTTATACATCCAACGAGAAGAATGATCCCAACTGGCTTCTGACACTTAGGAAGACATAACTAAAACGAGTGGGAATATGGCAGAGAGAGGCAGATTTTGGCCTTAAGGAAAACAGCTGCCTACCTGAAGACAGATGGAACTGCCCAGTAAAGTGTGAGCTCCCTGCCACTGCTGACTCTGATAGAAGCAGGGATGTTGGAGGTAGGGGTCAAGCATCAGAGAAGGACTTTAAGAGACCCCCTGGATATTAAGATAAGTTTTCACAAAATAAAGCCTGGTGTTTATTTTCCCCAACTGGAGTCTAAATATTACATGATGGGAAGATTGGCATGTTCCTTAATTCACAATTGGTACAATGCACAGCAATTCAACTTTAATATGCAAGAATAAAATGTATTCCTACTTTTAGGAAGCTCTGTGTTTCTTTTTTTTTTTTTACTGTGTTTGTTTCTAAGATGATAAAATATGCTTATAGGTAGCTACTCATTGGTTTTGATCAGGCAGGGCTGTCATCCTGAAAATGTCAGGGACAGGGTGTGGAGAATAGATACTGATAGCCTTACCTTTGTTTTCTGTGGAGACTGGATATAAAGAGCTCACTTCTTGCTTTTTAAAAGGGCCCTTGACATGGGATGAGAGGTCATCCAGCTGTGTAGGACTGGACCTATAATCACTGAATCAATAAATAATTATCTCTTTCCTCTTCTTTCACTTTATAAATATTAATCAAACACCTGTTATACTACAGGCAAGAAACCTGCACTTTTTATTGAAGGCAAAAAACTATACCCACTTGTATAAACACATGTCCATAGCATATATGTGTGTTTTTGTGTAATGGAGATAGTGTGGGAGTAGTGACAATATCAGCTCTCCAATCTCAGTGGGGAGATGCCTGGTAATTGTTATGTGTTCTAAATAATGTCAATGCAAACTAAGACCTTCAGTATGTTTTACTTTCTCTGCTGCAAAATAATTAGAATTTACAGCACAAGGCAGCAAACCTCCTTTAAAAACAAATAAAATAAAAACAAAAAGTTTCCACCCCTTGTTTGTAGTTCTCAAAGGTGTTGAGATCTGACACCTACACTCTTGGCCAAACAGAGCTTTTTCCTCAGACAAAAAGAAGGTCACCAGGAAAAATTAAGAACTCTGAACTTAAGGTAATAATTGTAATGATTGGAATTTTTTTATGTGTGCACAAAGATATTGTTAGAATCATGTTCCCTGGAATTTATTTATAGAAAAAATATGAAAGCACATTAAATGGCCAAAGGTAGAGGAATAGTTAGATAAATTTTGGTACATCCATGTAATGGAATACCATACAGCCACCATTAATGAGGATGCTTAGAAGAATATTTAAAGATACAGGAAGATAGTCAATATAACTTAAACAAAAAATGCAAGTTAAAATAGCATATACCGGGGATCCCTGGGTGGCGCAGCGGTTTGGCGCCTGCCTTTGGCCCAGGGCGCGATCCTGGAGACCCGGGATCGAATCCCACATCGGGCTTCCGGTGCATGGAGCCTGCTTCTCCCTCTGCCTGTGTCTCTGCCTCTCTCTCTCTCTGTGACTATCATAAATAAATAAAAATTAAAAAAAAATAAAAAAAATAAAATAAAATAGCATATACCATATGGCATATATATGTGGTGTGTAGATGTGTGTGTGTATATATATATATATATATATATACACACACACACACGCCCAAAAAAAGAAAGCTATACATGTATACAATAGAAGAAGAAAGGCTGATAGATTGATTACCAATACATCAATAGTGGTTGTGTGATTATGGGGGATTGTTCTTTTTTTCTTTTCCCTTAATTGTATATTTTCTGGGACACCTGGGTGGCTCAGCATTTGAGCATCTGCTTTCGGTTCAGGGAGTGATCCCAGGGTTCAGGGATCCAAGCCTGCATCAGGCTTCCTGCGGAGAGCCTGCTTCTCCCTCTACCTATGTCTCTGCCTCTCTCTCTGTGTCTCTCATGAATAAATGAATAAAATCTTTAAAAGAAAAAAAAGAGGGATCCTTGGATGGCACAGCGGTTTAGCGCCTGCCTTTGGCCCAGGGCGCGAT